GAAATCTTGAAATTGCACAACACTTAAGACAACATATTAATCTGACTACTAACAACAAATATGACCAACTACTTACTAATTTATCAAAAATGATAAACAGCATACTCAATCGATATAAAGATACAGTATACTTTGATAACATTAAAACCGATACAGACATCATCACCAAACCAAACAAAATTAAACAATATATACGTAACCATTATGATGAATAGACAGCACATCATTTATACAACAACACAATCTTTAATCAAGACTGGAAAACAGAATATCAACCCAAACCAGAAATACAAACAGCATGATATGACTCTGTACTAAAAGAAATCAGCATAGATGAAGTTTTACAAACAATCAAACAATTACCTAATAAAGCATGTGGGTCATCTGGCATTAGTTATGAAATGATAAAACATATTGGACCTAATATATTACATGCTATCACCACACTCCTTAACAGATGCATCAACACTCAAAATATCTCTAAACATGGAAAGACAGTAGAATATACTCTATTTTTAAAAAATCTCAATTCGATGGCAACCTCAATAACACCAGACCAATTAGTTTAATTAAACACATTAAAAAACTCTATACTAAAATTCTTACAAACTAACTCACCAAAATCTTTACAACACACACAATACTTAATCTACATAACTATGTTGCACTTCCTGGCAATTCAACAAATAATTCTATACATATTCTTAACAACTTTATAGAAGATGCTACATGTAACAAAAAACAAATATGGATACTTTTACAGGACATGAGCAAAGCTTATAACTCAGTTAATATACACTTCCTTATTAAAGCTTTACAAAGACTCAAAATGCCCTTACAACTAACAAACATCCTACAAAACCTTCTATATAACTGACACAACCAAGTCATTACTAACTTTGGACTTACAATATCATACTTGGTAAAAAACAGTATTAATCAAAGAGAAACCATAACACCCTTACTCTGGCAAATTTATTATGATACATTAATCACCCACATATATTATAAATATAAAGAATACATCTTCTCAGTTCAATGGCCTATACAACTTAATCCTAAAAAATTTCAAAACAAATTTACATTAACCTCTGTTTTGGCCTACATAGATGACACACTATGGCTCAGTTCATCTATAACCCAACTCCAACAAATAACCCAAACAGCTGCATCCTTCTACACAATGGCTCATATTAAAGTAAACCCACAAAAATTCACTTTAATCTCAAATACCAACATGCTACCTCAAATTAACTTTATGAACCAGACTATTCACACACAACCTATATATACACCATTCAAATTTTTAGGCTGCTAGTTTACAGCTACTCTTAAATATAGTAAACAAATTAAACTTATCAAACAAGAGGTATTAGGACTTAATGATATACTCAAAACTAAAAATATAACAGACAAACAAGCCACCTATATTATTAATAATATCATTATTCTAATTATTAAATATCGTATTCACAATATAGTAATTCCTAGAACTACCTGCAACTCAATATTATCTTTATATCTTACCATAGCCAAACACAAAGCTAAACTACCTATTACAACACCCAACAGTATTATGCTTAATTATAATATCTATGGAATCAAAAATATTTGGGACATTCAATTACAACACCACATCTCCAACTTTTTACTCAGAATAAATGACCAAAACCTTACAGGTACTAGTATATATATAAGACTGCAACAACTGCAAAATAACTTATAGTCAACTACCAACATTCTTCAACACTCACAACCCCTAATTGATAGACTAAATAAGAATACCACCATCTATAAAATAATATTATTACTGAATCAACTTTAACTCAATATAAGCATACACCCAAACTCTGTACAAATCTACACACTTTAATATTCTTACACATTTATTGAACAATTTCTAAACATACACAAATTATATCTATCTTTTAAAAAACAACTATGTATAAAAAATATTATATATCTTGAACAGCTGACATCATATGACAATACAACTTTACTTGACTGGTTACATATTTCATCTTGGCTATAACAACTACCCAAAGGCCGTAAACCATTATAGTTTATGATACTAGAAAATAATATTATCACAGATCAACAAACTAGATCAATCAATACTCAACTCCAACTACCAAGTATAAATACCCTATTCTTTAATACTGGATACTATAAAACTAAATTCAAACCTTGGTTAATCTTTTACAATAACAATAATAATATAATTCTAGAGAAAGCTAGGAGATACAACCATTACACTAACTCAATATCAATTACACATTGGCAGATTGAATTTGACTATTCACACACCAACCTTTATCCACCACCTATATATATTTGCAAACCATATACAGGATGTATATTAAACTCCAACCGAATTCAAAACACATGCACACTTAACATCTCAGCTAACTTATCCAACAAACTCTTATATAGAAAAACAAACAACAACACTTCTAACAAACTTAACCTTCATGCCAACATACTGGATTCCATATATTCAATTGCATTATGTCATCTAACTACTATACCAAGACCACCAACAGTTACAATTTATAACAATACAGTATTTGATATTTTTAAAAACAATTAATCCTCACAAATTCTACAACAAATAGCAATAAATAATATGATATATACACAATTAACATTTTATACAGATGGATCAGTTAATGATATTACTACAGAGCAATATATAATGAGTATTGGCTGGGTTTAAACAGCTAATAACTCTATATTACACAACTATTCTGTCACAATTCAGCTATGGCCCTCCTCTTACAAGGCCGAACTACTTGCAATTCTCTCAGCAATCTGTACATGCCCAAGAAGCAGCAATATTATTATCTATACTGACTCTTAGTCTATAATATTCAAATTTGATAAACTTACTCAACACCCACTTGGACCAAACAAACAATATTTATACAATTACTAGCCAATCTGGCATACATTATTAAATCTTATCAAATTCTACAATTTAATTATTAAACTTCAAAAAATCATAGCACATAGTAATAACACATTCAATAATACTGCTGACAGCCTAGCTAAAAGTCAAAACTATACAACTGACCTTGAATTTTTATACAATAATATCTATAACCCATCATACTATTTACAATATACAAATTATGTGTTTGAACAACCAACTCATAAATCTATCAAGAACATTTATAAAAGTCACATTATAGCAATGTAGTCTTTTTAACATCGAATAGAAAATATTATTCTTCTAGCAACACAAATCAATTGGAACGCTACTTGGTTCTATTTAAACAATAACTGCAAAAAATCATCCTTCTATACTAACTTCAAACTCTGCCAAAAAAAAACCTTCAAAATTAAACTTATGTTTAATATTTTACCTACACTACCAAACCTACATGCATTATACTCACAGTATTTTTCAGATCTTAACTGTATTTCATGTAATTCACATAAAAGCCATATGCATTAGCTTGTATGCCCAAATCCAACTAATCTTAACACAATTATTATCAACACAATACAGCAATTCTTGCAATCTTCAAAACTTGATATAACAAACACACAATGTCAAGAGCTACATCAAAAACTTACTTATTACTCTAGCCTATCACTCAACAATTATACTAGGGACAACACAAATATTTAGATAACTATACAAGGATTTATATCTACTGCACTTATACAAACTATCAGAGAATATATAGACTCTAATAAAGCAGCAACAAATGCTACTATTTTACTACTCTTGCAATTATCTTAGAATATTATAATCTAATTTGAAAACTATATTGTGCCAAGTTATCGAATTAGAAACAACAACACAACATATCTACAAATATTAATAGTAACTGAACAAGACAAAATATTATATCTAGCTCTAACAACTCCAGACTAAGGATATTAGGCTTCCACATGGGCTCGGGCTACCCACAGGTACCTATGGGTAGTACCATAAGGGCTGGGCCAGGGTATCAATTTTTGAACTCCCGGGTAAGAATAAGGGCTCCAGGTACTAGGCCCTTACAAAGATGGGTAGAGCTAGGGTAATGCCACTACCTTGCTCTTTTAGCCTATGGATACCCGTTAAAACATTCCACATGACTAACAACCAATCATAATCCGTTGAGTGGTAAATATATATATGTAAAAATTAGTATTTTTTTTTCTTAGTTTTAAAATTTAACCCAATAATTATTAATAACAATAACTGTTGTGCCGTTGACCAGTATCCGGTGTACTATGTACATAGAATGATGGATATTGTAAGTTGGGACTTGGATTGTGAACTGTGTTCATGATATCATGTGACCAAGTGATTGATTCAATATGATGGGCAGGGTAATAAGTATATATCGGGTAAATCAGAATGTTTATTATAGCTTGTACATACGTAATCTTGCATTAACTAGGTGGCTATCAATTTGTAGTCTAATGAAGTAGAAATTCTGTATAAAAGAAGTAAGGCTTAATAAGCCAAAACGATAGTTCTGTCATATAATAAAAGAGCAGACAAACCTGCTAATAAAGTACTGGTCGCTTGTCTTGTGGTCTCCTGTGAAGGTGTTGTTGACGCTGTTGTAGTTGTGGTGCCGCTGTTGAGCTAGATTATTAAGTGGAACGATCCCATTTATCAACAATAACCAATGCCTAACGTACTAAAATTGCTGTCACCCTGACACACTGAATTATGAACGCACTAAAGTGCCAAGTACTAAAGTACCAACGCACTAAGTGCCAATGCACTAAAGTACCAACACACTAAAATACCAACGCACTAAAATATCAACGCACTAAAGTACCAACACACTATTGCATATTGCACTAAAGTACCAACATACTATTACACTAAACTGCCAACATAGTAAAGTATATACCAACACATACTTACCAATTAATAAGAAAGTGTGAAGCTGTCAAAAAACTTGGTATGTCAGATTAGAAGTTTACTAGTATGCTTTAAAATACTACTAGAAGTAAAAATTTACTAATACTAATATTTACCAAACATCAAGATGAACAATCCTGCTTCTGTCGATATAAGTGATCCTACGAATAGTCACAATAAGACTGCTAATATGAATAACTCAACGGATAATTATAATGAACCTACTAACATAGATAACTCTTTGAAAAATCACAATATCGATGATCATAATATTGATGATGTATTAATTTCTAATGACTCTACTTCAACATCTTCTGTACTGGTATTATCCGTTACTGATTTTGATACTAGCTTGACAAATAGCACAACTACCAATGTCATTGGCCAAACTAACAGTGAAACTTCCAGCTAAATCGTATTACCAAAGCATACATCTCGTGCATGGATTAGTTTTTCTGTAGTATAGGATGAACAAAAAGCTAAATGCAAATACTGTAATAAGTTGTTAAGTCATAAAAAGGGAAGTGGGACATCACATCTTCAGCGTCATCTAGATTCTTGCTATAAGTATCAAAGGTCATTATTTAATGATGGCGGTTCAGATCCAAATTTACCAAATGGTCAAACTTAATTAAGATTTGATACTCAAACAAGAAAAAGGCCATACTCAAAAGATTCAACCTGGAAAGACTTAACTGACATAATAGTTTTGGATGAGTTAAGCTTTCAGTTTGTAGAAGGACAAGGTTTTCACAAGCTCATTAGTGGATTATTGCCTGATTTTAGTATCAGTGCCGATACAATAAAGCGAGATGTTATGAAGGCTTATAGTAAAAGAAAAACATTAATTAAAGAAATCCTTCAGAATGCTGAGGGTAGAATTTCTCTAACATGTGATGCTTGGACGTCACTCCAGCAACTTGGATACTTGGTAGTTACTGCACATTTTTTTAACAAAGAATGGAACCTTATTTTTATTTTACTATTATTTCTATTAATACCTTATCCACACACTGGAATTAATATTGCTAATTGTATCAAGGCAGAAGTTGATGAGTGGTTTATTACTACTAAAGTAATTAGAAAGTAGTTTATGTTTTACATTGGCATTTAAGTTTAATTAAAATATTATATTTTATTATTACAGTTACAAACAATTACACTTGACAATGCTGTGTCAAATGATGTTGCAATTCATGAACTGGCTGACCTTATTTCTCAAGACTCATATATCAATATTAATGAAGAGCTCTTTCATAATCGTTGTCTTGTGTACATTCTAAATCTCATCGTAAAGAATGGTCTAAGCAAATTGGAGTAATTATTGGAAAGGTAATTATATATATTAACTAAAAAAAATTGATATCAATTCTTTTTATTTAATATAAAGATCACTATAATAATATTAGATACTAATAATTATTATTAAATTTGGTTAGATTCGTGGCAGCATTAAAGCAATACACACATCACCAAAGTGACATCAGATATTTTTGGATATTTGTGAATCAGAATCTGTAAAGCCTATAATTTCACCATTGGATTGCGATACTTGCTGGAACTCTACGTTCCTGATGTTACAATCGGTTACAAGAATTAAAAATGTAATTATTAGAATGAAAGATAGAAATAAAACATTTTCTGATGTATCTGATGATAAAGAATGGAAAAACACAGATGCTCTTTGTAATGTTTTAAGACTATTTTATGATTGTATGTGTTTTATTATATTATAAGTTCATTATAATGAATGTAATTTGTAATATGAATAACTAACTTAAATTATTTTTAAAATAAAAATAGATACAATGAAAGTATCAGCAACTTCATACCCAACTCTCAATAGCACTCTTTCCTCTGTCTGGAATATTCATACTCATCTCTTGAGTATGAAATCTCATTTGGATAGCTTTATTTGTGATATCTGTCAAGCCATAATCGAAAAGTTTAACAAGTATTGAGAACATAGCAGCTTCTTGCATATGACTGCATGTATTCTTGATCCCCACTACAAATTGCAATTCATTTCATATTATTATTGTGAAAAAGAAAAATTGGCATTGTATAATCTTGATGAAAAAATGCAAGACATTCGAGTAAAGTATGTATACTTATCAACTAATATTAAATAAATATTTTTTTATTTTTATTTTAATATTATCAATAAAAATTAGGTTTGAGGATCTATATCTCTGTACATATTATTCCCATCAACTAGTGATCACGATAATAAAAATATTGTTAATACTGAAAATAATACCTCAATATTTGAAAATCATATTAATGATTTCTTCGAATATGCAGCAAAACAAACCTGGGTTAGCAAAAATGATCCACTTTCTGAAGTGAAACAATATTTAGATGAACCAATTGCTTCAAAAAATATCAACATACTTAAATGATGGAAACATAATAAGGATCGGCTTCCTAATTTATCATTAATGGCCCGAGACTTTTTGGCGATACCTGCTACAAGTGTTGCATCTGAACAGATGTTTAACTGTGCAGATCGTATTATTGACGATAATCGTACTTTATTAGACCCGGATACAATAATCATGCTAATGTGTTAAAGAAATTGGTTGGATATGATGGATAAGTATGGCTGGGATTTATAAATTTAGTAATGAATAGTTCTTATTATAGTTTGGCTACGATCTTTTAATTTTTTTTTTAAAAAAAAAATTTTGTGTAATTTTTTTTTTTTTGATTTTTATAAAAATTCTAAGTAAATTTTTGCTTTTTTTTGATCTTTATAGAGATTATGGATAAATTTTTTTTCTTTTTTTGATCTTTATAAAATTCTGAGCAAATTTTTTTTAGAATAAAGCTAAAATTTTAATAGAAATCAGTGTTTTATCTTTTTATTTGTTTATCAGTATTACTAAATCCATATAATTTAAAGGATTTTATCAATAATATTCGAATCTAATCTTTATTAACTACGATGTGTCATGCTTAATATCGCTGTGAGTTTTGGTAATTATGATCTCATATTGTAATTTTGAACTTTAATTTGGTTTCTAAAATTTTATATAATTCGTCATTTACACATAATAATAGATCGGTTAAAAATTGGCTTCATTATAGAAGTTTGAAAATGCTATCAAATGCTTCTTAATCGCAATGATTATACAAACTAGTAAAAATCTAAAGATTTTTATGTCATAATGAAATTTATTTGCAATGGAATAATATTTGGAATCTTTATAAGAACACAACTATTGATTTCGATAGTGATTTTAATTCTAAGGCAATAGATATATTAGTAAAAATCTTACGAATTCTATTTTAATTTCTTTTGAATCTTAGTTTTAATCAATCTGGGTATAAAGTAATTATATTGTTAGAGGCTCTTTATAGTAGATCTTTATGATAATCTGATTTGTACTAAAAGAACATAAAGAAAATTACAAATTTTTATGAAATACTGAATAAACTACATTTGCTAAAACTTAAATATAAAATTCTTAAATTACATAAGAAATTGATATAGTTGAAGCCCATGGGCAGTTTAAAGAGTACCCGTATCCTAATAGGCTGGGTATAGGTGTTAAAAACCAAGCCCTAGGGTAAGGGTAGAGCTTAAGCAAATAGGCCTTTGCACAAATGGATAGGGCTAGGATACTACTAGTACCTAGCCTTACCCGGACCATGCGGAAGCCTAAAGGATACCATACATCTACAGCTGTAGCTGTAGTCTGCCTGACCAACAACATATAGACAACGACTGTTCACCACTTGGAAAAGCATCAAAAAAAGCCTCAACATGGCTAACTACCTGGATAAAATTTAGTACATCTACTAATAATATTATATATTATAGAATCTAGGTAAGTTTTTAACCACTCTAGTAGGTTTAGGTTGCAGATAAATTAGATAGTTAAATATCTATA